AGAGGTCACAGGGGAGGCCCATCCTGGGCCCCTATTGGTTCCCCAACCTTTCTGCAGCTGTGGACATCAGCTTGGTTATCCAGCCAAGTAGCCCCTGGCATTCAGATGGCAGGGACCACGATGATCACTTGCTGTCTCCTGATTTCTGGCCTTCCCTAGTGATACTCAGTCCCTGGCATTAGTCTAGTCTCCCTGGCCACCTTCCTTAAGCTCCCCTTTACACAGTTTCCATCTCCTGACCCACCTCCACAGGTCAATGAGACCTTGTAGCAGGAAAGTGGAATTCATACCAGGCCTGAGTGACCTCGAAGGCCATGCCCTTTCTGCTTGGTCTCCCTCCCTACCTCCCAGGTGTCCCTGGTGCCATCACCAGGCCTCTTTCTCAGTGACTGCTCCTTCCACCTTCCGCAGTCTTTTTCTGGAGGAGGCTCATTCCCCAACGGCCTGGCAGAGCTCCTCAGTGGGGATGTGATGACAGGGCCAAAGAATAGCTTACAAAGTATGAGGGCCAGCCATGCAAGGTGACCCAGGTACTGTCAGCAAGGGAAGCTGCTTATAGCTCAGCCTGGGCACCTGCTCTGCAGGAAGTGGAGGGGACTTTGCTGGAAATCTGCCTTTAATCTCGGTTTCCTGTTTTCTGCCCTGGGGGACGCCCAGACAGGACTGAGTTTCGAACTATTTCACATCAGCTTCTGTAAACTGTCATCTCAAAGCAAAGAGGCTGGGGGAAGGGAAGAAGTAGAGTGGGGGGAGGAGAGGCCTTTCCCTTCCCAGGAGACCTTAGGAGCAGAGCACAGCTCACTCATAAAGGTGCTTAAGCTTTGGACCTCTGGCCATCAAGGACCAACCAAACTTTGCATGGAGCTAGCCCAGTTGGGTCATAACATCAAAATGTAGCCCAAGTCCTGAACTTCCTTCCCCACATCCAAGGGTCTCCAGCCTCTCCTCTTTTCTCCTTTCCCTCATGCCAGGGACAGGTAGTGCAGCCTGGGAAAGCTAGTGCTTGAGCCTACCAGGCTGTGAGGGGCCTCCTCATAAGTATCCTCCCAAATCCTAAAACCCAAGACCTCTGCTCTAATGATTTCCTTTCCTAAAGTCAACTGTATGAGGAAGCTGGTGCTCTAGGCTTTGGAGGTCCTCAGACCAGAATCCCAGTCCTGGAAGTGGACTCTGGGAAAGTTCCTTCTGTTCCTCGGTGGCCTAGTCTGTAAAAGGTGGCTCCAAATGCTGGCTTGACGACTTCATGTCTTACAGGCGTCTTCAACTCAGTTTGTCCAAAGTCCACCTCCTGAGCATTATTCCCAGCCTGCCCCTCTTCCAGGCCCTCCCATCTCAGCAAGGAGCACTACGATTTCCCCCGGTGCTCCAGCCACACCTGAGGACTAGGCCTGCTTTCTCCTGTGCCCTCACTCCCCATAAAGGCCACTCACTGGAAGCTGTCACATGGCTCTCATTTGTCTACTAGAGCCCACTTGCATCACCACTGGCAGAACCATGCATGCAGTGTTCTTACTGGTCTCTTGAACTTCATTCAGTCATGTCACTTCCCTGCTTAAAGTCCTTCAATGGCTCCCCATTGCTCATATAATAAAAACCTTGATCTACAGTGCCCTACAGGATCTGGCCCCTTTCTCTCATGCTTGCTGGTCTGGTCACTCCAGCCTTCTGACTGTCCCTCAAGCTGCTGAGGCCTCTGTACCTGTCTCCTCAGTCTGCTCTCCTCCATTAAGCACTCATCACCTTCATACCACAGTGTCTAATTGCCCCGTTTATTGATTTATCTTCTTGGTAAAGACCCATGATCACTTCTTGCTCACTCTTTCATCTCCAGCGTCCAGAAGAGTGCCTAACACTTAGTAGGTGCTCAATAAGCATTTGTTGAATGAGTGAATGAATGAATGAATGAATGGGGGAGGGTGGATGTTAATTCGCTCTTCCACTAGAAGATAGTTCTCCTTTACTGATTTGTCCCCTGTGCCTGTGGTTCAGAGAAGTTCAAAAAAAAATTTATTTCACTCTGCTGTGAAGAGGTGGAGCCAGGATTCAAATGCAAGTCTATTTGACTCCAAAGTTCACACTATGAGCCACATAAACCCAGAGGAAAAAATCAAATGTACTTGGGGTTAAGAGAAGATGGGTTAGTAACAAAACTGGGACAGGGAGTAGAGCATTTTCCCCAAATCCCCACAGTCCTTTCCCATTTTGCTAGCTGATTCAGCCAGGGCAGGGGAGATGCCAACTTCTCCCTTCCAGAAACCTTTGCAGAGCTGCTGAAATGCTTTCTTTTAGGCTGAGAGGTGGCCCCATCTGGCCCCACTTTATCATTCCATCTTGACCTCAGAGGAAAGAAAGGGAAACCAACCAAGCTGAGCATCCTCTCCAACCCCCCTCACCCCATGCCGTTATCTTGCTGAATCTGCACCATCCCTCTTGAAAGAGGAGTATTTCGAGCCTGATCTTACAGAAGACAAAACTGAGCTCAGAGACCTTAAGTAACTAACCCTCGGTCACACAGCTAGTAAATGGCCCAGGTGAGATTTAAAATTTGAACCCCAAATCCATGCTTTTTTCCACTACATAGTTATCTGAGACTTACCGGATGCCTCCTCAAAGGGCAGGTGTGTGACTACTACTTCCCTCCTTGAAGGGCCGGCCCCTTAGTATGGGTCCAGGAAAGTGATGAAGCTGACCTAGGGGTTCACTGGGTCAGAGGGTCAACCTGTTGTTTATCAGGAGGCATGCCCAACTCCTGCTCCTGGCATGGAAAGCACTTTGCAATCCACAGCCACACTGTCTTGCCAGCTTACTCTCCCACAGGGCCCTTTACTGTCTACCTCACTCCCTTAGCCCCTCGCTTACTTTCAATTTCAAGACTTTGTCAGTACACCTCATATTCCCCACCAGAGAATGCCCCTCCTCTCTGCCCACCCAACCATGACCCTTCCTTCAGGGCCCAGTCCCTAGGAAGTGCCTTGACACCTCCTACCTACACTGGAGTCTCTGTTCTCTTCCCTATAGTGCTGCCCACTCCCTATGACCCCCACCTACACCTACTGTCTTCTGTAGCTCAAAGCAGATCACCTCTCTGCTCCTGGTTAATAATGATATATAATAATAGGCAATACTTAACTGAGGGCTGACCTGTGGCAGCCACTGCACACTAAGCACTTTTAATGTATTAACTCACTTCCTGCCCCACATAATCTTAAGGAGTTGGTGCTATTATTTCCTCTCATTTTACCTAATGGGGAAACTAAAGCACAGAGAAGTGAAGTAACTTTCCCAAAGTCACACAGCTATTGACAACTTCCACATTGCCTCCAGGCTGAAAACAAAGTCTAAGAAAGTCTCATAAGGCTCTTTGGATCTCTCTAGTCCCTGTGGCTTCCAGGACCTCATCTCTCATCACTTTCCTGGGCCCATACTGCAAACTGCAGCCATACTGAGCAATTTCCAGTTCCCAGAGCCATCAAGCTGTCTTACCTCTCCCTGCCTTTGTCCACGCAGTTCTCTCTGCCTGAGGTCCAGGCTCTACAAAGTCTCCCCATTAGCCATCCTCCTCTTTTCTGTTTCCCGTGGACCTCGAACACCGACCCCTCCACTTTTATCAATCATTTCTTTGAACTTGTCTGTTGGCCGGTCAGTTCTACTACTGAGAAATGCTTTAGAGTATTTGAAGTAATCCTACAAATAGACTCCAGAACCGGGCCTGTCACGCCACCTGCGCCATTAAATGTCTAGAAATGAATGAGTGAATGCCTATTGCTGCAAGTGAGGCCCACTCTCCACAAAAAGATTCGAGGAGAGGGGCTCAGACCCGGCCTCAATCGCTTCTACATGGAAGGAGCTGCGCCCATTGAAGGCTGTAGGTGGCTGCAAGGCGGGCTGGTTGGCCTTCTGCGGGGGACGTTCAGGGGAGCCGCAGGCGGGCAGCTGGGGGCAGGGCGTGGGCGCGGACACACCCCCCGCAGTTCCCGCCAGCGCCCGGCAGGGGGCGCCGTCCC